ATGCAGGCTTGCCAGGGAGAAGGATGAAGAAGAGTCTTAGATACAGCCGTTGCTCTTCACTTGCAGAAATGGGAGTGAAGTATTCTCGTTCTTCAGTGTAAAGTTAAATGTCTGTAACTTCACTTCTGATTCTTTAATGTGGTATATATTTCACTACTGAAGAGCAATAAAGCAGGCAGTGTTTAACAGCCTCAAGGACTACTGGCTTCTGACACTTAATCCAGAGAATGGTGAAATGGTTTCTAGTTCCTGCTTAGTGTCCTGCCACCCAGCCCATGGCAGGGAATTCAGAAGCCAGACAGGTTTGCAACTAACAACAGAAGTTTATGCACAGTATGAAGATGTTATTTCTGACCTGGAAGCAAAGCTTAAATAAATACAGTCTAGTGAATGTGTGAGGCTTGAAATGCTATGTTCTTTTCAGGTTTTTTTTCAACTTTTGTTCTCTTCATGGGTTTTGGAGGTAAATACTAACCTCTGAACATACCTCTAATTGCTTTGTCACCATTTTTGTTGTCATCTTTGAAGATGCCGGGGTTTTTTAAAGGCTGCTGCATATTAGTGTGATCTGTGCAAAGGTTGCCTTCCTGGAAGGACTTGAACATGAGCTATGAATGTTCTCCTTGAATGCTATTTCAATTTGTTCATTTCAGACTTAGTTGCAGACTTCTGTCACTGAGAGAAGAACCTGTTCTTCCTTTCCTCTGACCTTGGTTTGCTTAAACATTTCAGCGAAATTTAGAGTTAATTTTTCTTAACAGAAGCTGCATTCCCTTTTGCTTGCAGTGTGATCCAAATCTTCAAGTCTTCAACGTGTTTATTGACAACCTCGACTTGCGTCTTCCTCGAATAGCACTGTTTTCTACCCGAACCATCAAGGCTGGAGAAGAGTTGACCTTTGACTACCAGATGAAAGGTCTGCACATTTTAACAGGGTTGTTTTGGGAGGCTGGGTGCTGGTGGGTTTTGCTGCAGCCTGACTGATGGTAGCGTTTCAAACGTCATAGCATTTCAGCTCAGGCACTGCCCTCCCTAATGCATCTCTGGATTTCAGAACTGTCATTGCTCGTGACATGTTGTGCAGAGAAGATCACAAACAGAAGCTTTTGCCTTCACCTCTAATGCATTGCCTCCCTCAGCACTCCTAGCTCACAGCAGGGATTGTGGTTGGATTGTCTGATGAGGCAAATGATTTTGAAGTTTTGTCCCAGGAATGCTCAAAGGAATGGCCAGGCTACCATTAAATAAAGCTTCCCTTTATGGAAATAGGCACTTCAGATAAACTACTTTCCAAGTAATCTGTGAGTGATAGTTGCTAAGGCATTTGTAACAGCTCAGCCGTGTAAGGCACCACAGGTTTATCTCTGGATTCTGGTGTCTGAAGGCCTCAGTTTTGGATGTAGGTCCTGTGGAACAGATGATGTGGCTATCCTGGTTTTAGCTGGGATAGAGTTAATTTCTTCTTAGTAGCTGGTACAGTGCTGTGTTTCGGATTGTGCATGAGATAAGACACTGATGTTTTGTTTGTTGCTAAGAAAGCTGGGAGGAAGCACAGACAGGTGACCTGAACTGGCCAAAGGGATATTCTGTGCCATGGAATGTCACACCCAGTATGGATACTGGGGAGTTGCCCAGAAGGGGCTGATCAGGGTTCAGGGATGAGGTTTGGATGAGGTGGTGAGCAATTGTGGTGCATCACTTCTGTTTGTATTTTTCTGTTTGCTATCACTTTTAGTACTGCTATTATAATATTTTGTTTCCATTATTAAAAGGTCCTTATCTCAACCTACAAGTTCTACTCTTGATTCTCCTCCCTGTTCCACTGGGGTGGAGGTGGGAGTGGGAGTGAGCGAGTGATGTTTCACTGCCAGCTGGGCTTAAACCCGGGCACTGCCAAATTGATCTGGAATCCTTAAAACTACTCCTCTATGTGGTGTCTGTGACACTGACAGCCAAGGCTGGCTGCACTCTCAGCTGATCCTTGTGGATACAGACATGAGGGAACAAGGCTTGAGTTTGCTGAGTTTTGGATTCTGATGTATGTTCTGGATGTTGTACAACAGTGGTAACGAGGGTGTTGGTAGAGTTTGAGGAGAGCTTCACACCCTTTGATCTGAGGTGTTAGAAGGTCTAGCAAGTTCGGGGGGAGAACCTGCTGGAAGACCTCCGAGGCACATTCTGCATTGGGAGACGGGCACACACACACACAATATGTGACCCACAAAATGGCAGTTTATTACTCAAGAAGACAGCTTATATACAGGGAAATACAGAAGGTTCTGGTGAAAGGGTGGGTTCTTGCCAGGGACAACGAATCC